ATGCTACCAGAGTGCTTTAGTAAGTGCTTGTTGTTGTTGTTGTTGTTATGTGCCGTCGAGTCATACCTGACTCATAGCGACCCCTCCTTGGGTTTTCCGAGGCAGTATCACTACGGAAGTAGGATTGCCCAACCTTCCTTCCGAGGAGTGGCTGGTGGGTTTGAACCGCCAGCCGTCTGGTTAGATGGCAAGTGTCTTAGCCACTATGCTACCAGAGCTCCCCTGCATCCCCAACTAGTGACACCTAATTTGTGCTTTTTATGACTCTTACATTAGAAGGTATACAAATAAAAACAAGTTTCCCAATTAGTCTGCTTTCCGTGCAGCTGTCATTATTATTTGGCCCTACACCCCCCTCTCTCCATATCCCCATACTCCTCAGCTCCTCTCCTAAAGGCGTCTTGAATTCCTACCCATAGTTTAGCCACATCTTTCATGAGAACAACAGCATGAGCACGGGGCTTTGTTAGAAATGCAAAATCTTGGTCCTACCCCAGACTTGCTGACTCAGAAAGCTACATTTAACAACATTCCTGGGTGTTTGATATGCACATTAAAGTGTAGTAAGTTATATGTAACATCTCAGTATTATTAGTAGATAGTAAGGAACTCCCAGGATTTTATTTCTGATTATAGCAAGGTCAAGGGAATAAAGTCACTGTGTGGGCCTTAAAGGTGGCCAGTTCAGTGGCAGGCGGTGATTCTAACAACATAGGTATTCATGACATATTGGTCTCATTCCCAAGAGCTCATTAATAAAATTCCCAAGAATACATTATTTTTTATTTATTTTTTTTCTGATGTAACGGTTAAAGGCTCTCGCTCAAGATATCAAGACAATAAAACCTTTGTAAATTACAATGTCAGTTTTTGAAGAAATGGATGTTAACTTCCAAAATATTGTTAAGTGCCATTGAGTCAACTCTGACTCATGGTGACTTCCATGTAACAGAATAAAATATTGCGTGGTCCTACTCCATCTGCATGACTGCTGCTGTGTTTGAGTCCATTGTTGCTGCTATTGTGTCAGTCCACCTCATGGTAGGTTCTCATTTTCACTGACCATGTACTTTACCAAACGTGATTGTCTTTTCCTAGTGAATAGTCTTTTCTGATGACATGTCCAAAGTAAGCAAAGTCTACTATTAACCTGGAGAATAAAAACCAAAACCAAGCCAAACTCACTGCCAAGTCAATTCCGACTCACAGCAACCCTATACAACAGAGTAGAACTGCCTCGTAGGGTTTCCAAGTCTGTAAATCTTTATGGATGCAGACTGCCACATCTTTTTCCTGAGAAGTGGCTGGTGGATTTGAACTGTCAACCTTTCAGTAACAGTCGAATGCTTAACCACTCCACCACCAGGGCTCCTAACCTGGACAACAACTCAACTAACTTGCTGCCGTCGAGTCGGATCCAACTCATAGCAACCTTGGGTTTCTGAGATGGTATCATTATGGAAGTAGATTGCCCAATCTTTCTTCCAAGGAGTAGTTGGTGGATTTGAACCACCAGCCTTCTGGTTAGCAGTCAAATGCCTTAGGCACTATGCTACCAGAGCTCCTAACCTAGAGAGCAGGGGGTATAAAAGACCAGCCAGTAGTTCCATCTCTAGCACCTATATCTAACACAATAGGGAAATCTACAATGAGAAAAAAATCCTTTTCCCTTGTAGAAGAACAGCAACAAAACAAGTATCCTTGCAATGGATTTTCAAAAAAGCTATCAAATGATCCAAAATGATCAGACTTGTTTAAAGAAGTCCTTTTGAAAAGTTTATTTGCCTTTTGATTGTTATTTAAAAGCAAAACATCAGAACTGTACACTATGAAACTATCCCATTTTATAAACTATAAATTTGGTAAGTGTGTATGTTCTATAAATTCTGTGGAATAAATGGAATGAGTAGGAGAGATCTGAGAAGTCAAATAATCCAGACTACCTTATTTGACTAACAGAAAACTGAGGCACAGAGAATCTGACTTATCCAAGTTCACATTCCTGGCAAATTTAGGGCCAGAACCTGAGTCTCTGAACTCTAATGCTCTTTCTACTAATTCACATTTTTAAAGCCATGATTCACAGAAAAATACTTTCAAAAAGCTTATTAGAGATATTATCCAGGTAGAAGATTAGTAGTCACCTGAAGCATTGATTGAATGTGGTTTTATAGTCCTTTTAAAATAAGAAGCTGGCCTTTAAGAACATTTTTATGCAATCAGTCCTAGCGACTGGTACACCATCCGATCTGCAACCTATACAACTATGAGACCAGAAGAACTAGATGGTGCCCAGCTACCACTGCC